GGCTTATATGTACTGAAGTTACATGTATAGTATGGGGCAGATTTCTTTGGTTGCGACTGTAGTCACTGTACATGACAGTCTGTACATTAATTTTACTGGTACGTACCTGACTGCATTGCTACATGTACATACAGCGGACAAAGATTAGGACCTGGTATGGTGCCGGTGCTAAAGTGTTTTTTAAATACGTGTCCACAAAGTCGTGTCGGTACGATGCGGTCCATCCAGCTGCATGAATTATTTCAGACACGATGAGAGTTGGATCTCATGACCGCGTGTAGCCGATTGTTGCGAAAAACCAGGGATTTCGCGATATCCACTATGCAACCGTAATGCCGCTCAAACCTCACACAATGCTCATTTTGTTCCAATCTAATGCTCTATAATGCTCAGATATACAATGTCATGATAATCTCATAATGCCGAATGATGATGCGGGCATTACCACCCGTATTACCCTTGCTACTAGGGACTAAACGCAGCTGATTTGTCTGAACTCAGATCCAGTTCCTATGCTGCCTCTTGAGTATTGTGATGCACCTTCAATATTGACGGCCCCATACCATGATGCTCCAGGTCCTGATGCAGTGATAGCGATGCTGAGTAAGCAGGCAATAGCAGAAACCGATTATCATGTAGAGTTGCACATGTTTACCTCTACTAGCCATACATAGAATCTACCCTCGCAGTACAAACAAAAACCCGTCATGCATGCGTAGTTTGTGGCACGAAGCCCATCACGTGATTGGAAGAAATTCTGTCTTTCACGGCTTCACGCGATCATCATGCAGACGGGTGACACTCTGTACTGTGGAGTACGGTAGATCTACCGACATTCGAGGCGTCTGTCCAAGATCCATTTGATTACGAGACAGGACCAGCCAAAGAACTCATTGACATTGGCAGTGGCTGCAGTTTCGTCCGTTGCAAAGCAACACGACTTCTGTTGATAATCAGGAGTGCTCGTCGCAGACCGTTCATTTGAAAAACTGCTTGGTGTGAGAAAGCCCAGCATCAGGAGCAGATAAACTATCAAGTACCTTCCGTTCAGCATGGCTCTGTGGCAAGGCTTCGCGATTTCGGCGCTGGTGTTGGCGGTTCTGGCCGTATTGAGCTCGGCTCACCCGACCCACTACCCCGAGGTGGACGCCGCCGTGTGGCGCGAGCGCGTGAAGAGCGGAGAAGGCATGCCGCCGTTTCAGAGCTACCACATTCACGTGTTGTTCGTGTCGAACCAGAACGACTCCATAGCCGAGGCGCTGAGCTTCCGCAAGACGTTCATGGAGCACTTCAAGCTGACGGACGACCACCCGTGCAACGGTACACGGCACCAGGGCAGGCTGTGCATGTTCTCATTCGACACGGAGTCGGGAACCGACGACAGTCCGTTCATAACCTCGGAGTGGGGCATGTTCTTGCCCGTGGAGCACTTCCAAACGTACGTACCCTGGACGATGCAGAACCGCGGCAACAACATCGTTTTCGTGCACCCGAACTCTGGCATGGAGAAAGAAGACCACGTGCACTGGGCCGTATGGCAAGGGGCCATCTGGCCCCTGCGCCCTTCCGCCCTGTGCACCTACTGCGACAACTGATGATGTCATCACGGCAACTCTGCTGCCGTCATCGTAAGTTACCAATTCCTATCACTTGTAGATGAAACCAGACTTTATCATCGGACGGGACCATAATCGCTATTGCAATTGGCTACATAACAATGTCAAGTTGTAGACAGGCCACAGTGATTACAATGGTCTTGAACAAGTTACTTGCGAGGCGTTGTGATGTGTGTGTGTTTTATAAGCAATACTTTTCGTTGAAACACTCTTCCCGCCAGAACACGGTTGGGGCATGTAGTTGTGTTGTGCCTGATGTTGATACATGTGCAATTCCATTTTCGAGAATTTTTGAGATTTCTTACTTGATCAACACCCATCTCCCCCTCCTCCGAGACCTCATCCCCGGGCTTGCTACAAATTCACCATCTCACTATACAGGTGATCTTTGCCTCCTGTCCCATGTTTTCTCCTTTCATTTGACCCACACTTATCGCGGGGCGCAATGCTTCAATTGACTTGCTTCCGTACGAATACTCCTTAGAAAAGATCACAGATCTCCTCTGATGAGTCCAAGGGTTTCAGGATTCAATATTGGATATAACGATTCGCTGTTGGAAGTGTGCATATGCCCCCCCCCCCACACACATACACACACACATTGTGTGTGTGTGGGGGGGGGGGTACATGGTGCGGGGGAGGGGGGCGACGACCAACACCCCTTTGCCGAAAAGCAACATTCCAACTTGGCCTTATGGTAAGGTTCATTTGTGGAGTGTGTGTCTGATGTTCCAGACACTTGACTGTGTAAGAGTGACCTGCCATTTTATGCTAGGCACCGGCGGATTGTGCCGGCAGAAAAATTGGCAGAACTCGGTACTTTTTCTGGTAAGTTTCATGCATGTTTGGTATGTGGAAATGGAGCAGAATTCGAGGAATTGCCCGCCATAAGGTTTGTAAGGTTCTGCCAATTTCACTGCTATTCGAGCAGAATCTGCCACCTTTTCGAGCATAATCCGCCGGTCCCTATTTCATACTTTTGGCAATGCAGAGCACCCCCCCCCCCCCCCCCCCCTCTGTCATCATACTCTCGCCTGCTGAGTGGACATGTGATGATTCATGGCAGACTCACACTGTGTGACCACTGACCAAGGACCAAGTTGTTATGGGTGCGTGTGTTTGTACTAGGCACCGGCTGATTCTGCTCGAAAAGGTGGCAGATTCTGCTCGAAAAGCAGTGAAATTGACAGAACCATACAAACCTTATGGCGGGCAATTCCTCGAATTCTCCTCCATTTCTTTATCCACATACCGAACATGCATGAAACTTACCAGAAAAAGTACCGGATTCTGCCAATTTTTCTGCCGGCATAATCCGCCGGTGCCTAGTTTGTGCACATATGCATACGAGTACTCTTCTTGTCGGACTAGGTCTAGGAGCACGGTACTGTAAAACGGGTAACGTTTGCGACAAGAAAATTTAATGTTTGCGTTTTACAAATTGAGACTGGTTTGCGCTGTGTAATCATGTTTGCGAGTCGCTCTACACAATCGAGTCAGCCCTTGCACTGAACTTTACACGGCGCGGGTTTGCGTTGCTCAAAGTTTGCGATTCGGGGCCTCTCGCGAAAATTCGCAAACATACTTACGTCGCCATAGTTACCCGTTTACAGTAGTCCATAAACTGCCTGTTCCATAATGGGATTACATGTATATACTCTTGGTAGTGGTATACAACGATTACTGTATAGCAGGAAATTTTCAGACGGAAATATTTTCGGACAAAGACGAATTTCGACCTTTCGTAAGGATTATATTTTCGTACAGTGCTGCATGCTAAATACACGTGTTTGCAAGCAGAACACATGTATAGTGTACATAATTTCACATGAACAAATTTTCGTACGGAATTAATTTTAGTACAAAAAAGGCCGCGTACGAAATCGTACGAAAATAAATTCCGTCCGAAAATTTTCTGCTATACAGTACTTCCTCCATGACAAGAACGATGTCCCGAATGATTGCAAACTCCCTCATACTGTAAAAGCAGAAATTGTCGGTGGTGTTTTATTTTCGGTAACTTCGGTGCCGACAATTTTTACCGAAAATAAAACGCACCGAAAATTTCGGTACCGTAAAGTACCGTTGATCCGCCCCCTGTCGATTTTCTCCTTGTGAAGCGACTTCGGCGTATACAACGAAATACGATGTTGAACCGACGCGTGCACAGCTGTACACAATACTTGCCAATCCAGGATCAAAATGTGCACAATCCAGCGCATCGAGTCTGAACTTCTACGTTGTTGTACATCGCACTGCACTTGACAGCCTTGATCTAATTCCCGTCCCCTGCCGAAAACCCAGCTGGGAAGCGACATGGCGTGGGGGCGGATCAACGGTACTTTACGGTACTACCGGTACTGTATACATTTAGTACTAGTACACTTACATGTACCTGGAAACGGGTTTTACCGAAAATATTCCCTCCACCGAACCGCCGGTTTTGGAGAATACCGAAAATATTACACAACCGAAAATTTCTGCTTTTACAGTAAGGGCACACACGAGTACGGTAGATACGCTACCTGCACAGCACCACACAGGTGTTGTAAGGCGTGGATTGCATTGTGCAGTCACCTGATACGAAGTTGCTCATCAGGTGTTCATATGTCACTTCTTGTACAGAAAATCATGTTGCAGCAGACGCGAGGTCAGCTTGCTTGCCCCTTCCGACGGAAGCCACCATCCACAGTTCATGTTTCTCCGTATACATGACATTGTATGCACAGACACACACACACACACGCATACACACACGCATACACACACACATGCACACCATTTGACGCCCATCGCCAGAGGCGATGATAGCAAGACTACATGAAAAGCAGAGTGTGCAGCTTGGGGCCTTTTCTACTATGGGTGTCTGTCACGGCGAAATTCCGTGATTACATGTTTGGCGCAGATCTGAGGCGGGGAATGGCATAGTGCGTACAACTGAGACGCAGTTGTGCAGAAAGAGTCCTGCTTGAATCCTGCTTGTACGCATCACATCACTATAATGATGTAATCACGGAATTCCGCCGCGCCGTTACAGCACCCCATCCGAGCTGCACACTCTGGTTTTCATGTACTCTTGATGATAGCGATCCTACGGCAGAAGCCATAACAACTTGTGGTGGGATTGCACCATTCAACAGCTTGCAAGGCTGAAGAATTGACCGCCACTATTCAGCCTGATCAACACCACACAGCTAAGAAAAAGACACACACACACACACGCACACGTAGCTAAGTTAGCAGTGGTTGCTGTGCTACACACCACATGTACGGAGACAGTCACCCGACACACACACACACACACACACACACACTAACACGACTGAAAGAGCACGCCCTCAGCAGGACTCTACCTCAACCAAACAGAGCACACATCGCACACTGTTGATTCGCCACTTGTCAAAACGACAGGGCAATAATAATATTGTTATGAGCAGAGTAAATCTTTCTATCTTTTGTTTGTTGTCAATGTTCAGCTACTCAAAAATAAATAAACTGGCAATTTCCTGTGGTACCGACTACGCAAAAATAGCAGCAACGAGAGAAAAAATAGCAATAATATCTAGAACTAAGTAAGAATCCGGAGCGGTGCGGGGGAGGGGGGGGGGGGCGTAGAAAGCATATAAATAGGGAAAAGGCAGGTCTCGAGGGTAATTGTTTCGATGCCCGCATCGGGGCAAGCACTGCCCTTGCGCTGGCTTCCCAAAGGCAAACATTATTCGTGAAAAAGACGTATGAGGGTGAGAGAGAGAAACAAATCTAACTACAGCTCATAAGGAATGTGCGGACTCGGCGCTACAAGACGGAGACAGGTGTGTTCTTTTAGTTTCACTCAAAACTCTATCAAACTCACATAAGCAGTTCTGCCTAACGGGTGGGAAGAGGAGAAAAGCGAGCGCTTGTGCACGCGTAGTATCGGAACGCGGCATCCGTAGCCTCTCGCCCGAAGACAGCCACTGAGAATACCAGACGTACTGAAAGAGACAAGCTGTATTTGCCGTAATCTCTCCTGGGTAGATGAAGTCTGCCTGGTCTTGGCTGCCATTGCGTGTGTACCGGCTACCGACAAGCTCACGTTGTAAGCGGCAGGAAAAATACAAGCACACCGGGTTTTGCAAGTAAGACATGTCTGGCGGGACTATTGGCTCATCGGCTGGCTTGCGTGACTGCGTTGTTACGGGGCGGTTCCGTCAGCCGAGCAGGCTTGGACAGGAGAGGGCATGGAACACCGAGAGTACAAGCAAACGGATTACATGTCAGATGACTTGCTCTGGCCGGGGTCGTCTTCCGAGGCCGATGACGCGGCGCGTTTCTTGCCCATCATCTTAAAGCTGCGACGGGCCGTGCGGGCGCGGTCCACGGACTTGGCGATGAACTCACCTGCCGCCGATTTGCTGGTGCTGGAGCTCACGCTGCTGGCCGAGGGCTTCGATTGCAGCGCATTCGGCCGCTGGTGGGATCGGCTGAACCGCAGACCGGCCATCTGTGCACGGGCAACCACCCGGAACGTGTACTTTGGCCGCTCCAATTCCAGGGACTTGCTGCGGGGGCGCTGCTGTCCGGGCGAATCCTCTTGCACGTCCGACAGGGCCTTGATGCAGGACATTTCGCTGCAGCTGCCGCCCGTTATCATGCCGCTCCCGCGTCTCCCCGTGGAATCGGCGCGCGGCAACGAGGTCGTGGACGAGGAGTTGCTGCTTTGGATGCGTTTGGACAGCTTGCGCACAAGCTTGCCCGTCTTGCGACTGACGTTCTCGAAGCTCATGCGCGGCTTGATACCGCCACTACTATTGACCTTGCCAAGCAGCTGCTTGCTTGCCGGCGAGTCCCCCTGACCACTGGCAGCACTCTCTGAGCCACGCGTTGCGGGTGTTTCGGCACCCGTTGTCGACGAGCTTTTAGTTGGAGTGGCCGCTGAGGATGTACAGGGGTCATTTCCTGTAGGTTCGGTTACGTCGGTACTGAAGGAAATGGCACTGCGCTTCGTCACCAGCTGATCGTGGCAGGATGACTTGGAGGACGGTATGCTCTCGAACGCGTCGTCGTTCTCGTCGTCGTCGCTGGCTTGCGCTGTCTTCGTGTCGCCGGCTTGCACCGTCTTCGCGGCGCCTGCACTGTCTCGCTTGGTGGCGTCGGCTGCGTCAGACGCCGTCACGTCAGTACCCGCAGACTCCATGATGGAATCGTCCTCCGTTCCCTGTGCTGGTCCCTCTTCGGCCGTTGCTGGGACAACAATGGCATCCATTTTGTCCGCAGCGCCCGTATCTGCCGTAGACGTCGTCATCGCTGTTTTCTCGGCATCGTCCTCCTCAGCATCGTCACTGACCTGCGAGGCCAGCAGAACAACGGCGCTGGACGGATCGCACAGATTGCGGGCGGAGAGGTCGGCCTGCGACGTACACGGCCTGTTGGACGGGGGCGAAGCAAACGGTGATGCAGCGGGCGTAATGTCAGTACTAGACGGTCCGTCACCTCTTGACTTGCGCCGCTTGCGGATGATGCTCAGCGACCTGCCAGTCTTCGCCGAGGGGCTTGGACTTGCGGCCTCGTTGTCGGACGTATTTGAATTTCTCGACCCCTCGCGGCCTTTGCGGAAGCTGAGGAAGCTGGTTAGGCGGGAGGTGCTTGCCGGGCTCTTCGCTGCTGACATGTCGTCCACCGAGGGAGTGGTCGGTGCACTGATGGGGTCTTCGCTCGTCTCCTGCGTCGTGAGCGACTTGGCCGTTTTCTCCGGCCGGTCTTTGCGCTTGCGCTTGAAGGAGCGCGACAGGCGCACCAGCGAGCCTTCCGGCGCTTTCGACAACGACGTGGGCGGGCTAGCTTCGGCACCCAGCGCTCCAGGCGCCTCCGAAGCGGCGGCCATGCCATCTTCGTCCTTCTTCTTGGCCTGCTTCTCGCTCTTGCTCTTCTTGAAGAAGGCAAAGTTTGGCGAGAGGATGCTGTTGCGGCGGCTGCGGCCCTCCGGCGAGGGTGATGCGAGGTCGCCCGCACTCGTAGAGCGCTCCGCCGAGAACGAGGTCTCGGCGACGGCGACGTTTTGCGACGGCGAGGTAGGCGATTGGCTGCTCCGGGACTTGGCGCCCGGTGATGACGTGCCAGCATTGCCGCTTCCCTTGCTGTCTACCGACGTCTTGTCGCTTCTGATGTTACCCTGAGAGTCCTGAGCACAGAGCGTACACAAAGAGAAAAGAAAAGAAAGTCAGTCAGTCAGTCAGCTTGTCGGGCAACATCATGTGTAAGAGTTGGTGGACAAGCCGTTGATTATTCACTCTCATTGTAATATCAAAAAAGTATTCTTTCTAGACCAAAGAGTGGAATATTTGATAACATTTAATAACGATAGAAATATTTACGATATTTCTCCAGACGTTTCGTTGTTCTGAACAACATCGTCAGTGGATAAAGAAAGCATTCTTTATCCACTGACGATGTTGTTCAGAACAACGAAACGTCTGGAGAAATATCGTAAATATTTCTATCGATTTTTTAAAAGAGGTCGGAGGCGGATAATACTTTAAAACGAAGGTAAGTTATGGGTCGCAAATATCCACGCAAACACACATCCAGTCATAATAAGGCACTTGTCATAAGTATCCGAACGTTTTCGGTCCCTTCTCATCAAGGATTATACAGGCTGTGTTAGAAGCTTTGTATATCCGTAAGTTAGATCCTGAACTTTGCGTACAGAAAGAAAATGTTTTGTCGCTACAATTGTTTGGTGTTACTCCTCGTCGAGGTGGTAACAATGTAACTTAATTTGCTCACTATGTTGTTGTCACTATTATTATTTTCCTTCGAGTTTTGTGTCGTGCTAAACTTGATAATTTTCCACCTTGTCACGAGTGTTGTTATCTAATTATCTTTACGCTATATAAGTTTTAGTCTTTCCAGCTTGAGCCATTCCCTGTATAATCCTTGATGAGAAGGGACCGAAAACCTTCGGATACTTATGACAAGTGCCTTATTATGACTGGATGTGTGTTTGCGTGGATATTTGCGACCCATAACTTACCTTCGTTTTAAAATATTTCTATCGTTATTAAATGTTATCAAATATTCCACTCTTTGGTCTAGAAAGAATACTTTTTTGATATAACATCATGTGTGTTAAGCACATTTCCACACAAATAACACGAGTCTGTCACTAGACAGTGGGGGGGGGGGGTGTCGGACACGGTACGGTCACTACGGTAACTACGGTATTGACCGTACCACTCTTTGCCCCAGGTATCACGTGAACCAATAAATGCACTGCTGACCTGGGCTCTAAATGTCCAGACTTTTCGGCTCAGCCACCCCTCCCCAATAAGAGAAAATTGTGCCTGAGATGGTTGACCGTACCACACTAGAATACCGTCCGACGTCCCTGCAGTGGTGTTCACATCTTGATTTTTTTTTTTTTAAGCATGTGCACTTTCATAAAGAGAGCACATCTTGATCATGCGACTTCATTTGTACAGAAAGGACCCGTGGAAGCGGCTTTTGATTGGTCTGGCCATACTCTAGCCTTTCATACAGTTTGTGTATGATATCAAGAGTACATAACCCCAAGAGTGTGCAACTGCCTGCACAACCTCCATGGTGTGCTGCGACGGCGCCGACGGCACTCACGGCACAACTTCACATCACGTGACATTGTTCAAAAGGTTACACTGGCAAACGGTGCAAAGTGACCACAAGAGAGTTGTACCCAAAGCTGGGTTGCGTACAACCCTGTATCAATCACGCACAGAGTACAAATAATGTGTACGGGTTCATCACGTGATGAGCAGACCTAGACCGGTGACCCCATAGCTGGAGTTGCACACTCTTGGGTGACATCAAGAGTACATAACCCCCCAGAGTGTGCAACTCCACTATGGGTGAGGTCCCGACAGAGTTTCAAGTTGACGTCATTTTGATGATGCAATGCGCACTGTACATGGATTATCAGACGAATCCGGAACCTGTGGTTGACCGAAGCCGATCGATCCTGTACAAATTATTGCAAAGAAAAACGTGTGATGCGTTGACACCCGTACACATGTTGTAAATCACTGGTGCAAGGAGCATTGCGTCATAAATAATGACGTCAACTTGAAATTCTGTCGGGACAGCAGGGTATGTGGGAGTTGCACACTCTGGGTGGTTATGTACTCTTGGTGGCATGTACCGTATTTTCCAGAGTATAGTGCGCACCTTAGATGTGCTATTCTAGGCCCTAAACTGCAGGTGCGCACTATGCTCCGAATATGAAACGCATGTACTTCAATGAAGATTGAAGTGCGCACCCCCAATGAAGATTGGGGGTGCGCGTTATACAAAGGTGCGCACTACACTCCGAAAAATGCGGCACTCTTGATGATATGGATGGTATACACATGACCTCCTCCGCAGCAAACACATGTCGGTGGCCAAAAAGTTGGTCAGGCCATGTCCTGATTAAGCGGCCTGGTTCAGCCGGGCCTGATGTAGAGAGAGTGTACAAGGAACGTGGACAGTGCAACCAACATGGCCAATGTCACGTGACGCACCCAGCCAGGCATTTGCCGGCGTAGGAAGCAACATGGCTGCACCGTATGGTCATGCGGCAGATGTACAACGGCGCTATAGCCGTATGAAGCTGGGATGGCCATCACTGATAGGCTGTAGTGATAGCATAACATTCCCATACAGCCGACAGTCCTACCCCGGTTTTCCAAACCCAGGTTATTCAAAACACGTCGATAATCCGAAACGCATTGTCTGCATCGGGGGGCAAAGAAGACGACCGGAATACTGAGAATAATCATGCCAATTTCGAGCATATGACCATATCAACCAAAGAGCAAGGCTGGTAAATCCAACCGGGCCCAGGATTGCCAGGGCAAGCAAAAAGAGCTGCAGAGGATCAGTCGTCCCGCTTAACTAGTGTTGACTTACTACACCGCCTCGTCCCGTCTTCTTCAGGTCAGCCGCCGTCTTGATGGGTCCGCTGCCGAACAGCGATCCCATGCCGGGACTACCGCTGCCGCCGCTGCTACGAGAGTACGCTAACGGTGCATACAACCACAACCACCGGGTATGTTGATATGCACACATGCACACACACATACACACACACACACACATACACACGTGCGTGCACACACACACACACATGGACGCACGCATGCACACACACGAACAATATTAGGGGGCGATTAGCAGCTCGCAACACGGGTTCAAAACAAGCGTGGACAAACTTGTCAAACCCAAGAAAGAATCACCAGTTCTTAGGGCCTGCCATCGGGTGCAAGAACGAGCCAGGGGCTTACCATGTACTTGGTTGAAGTATGACTAAACTATTATCAGGAGCACACATGGACAAACACCCTTCCAAGATTCAGCCAGGAACCTAAATCGAACATGCATTGCTGACCTGAGCCAACACCATGCCTAGAGCATGCAACACACTCAACACCACTTTTACAATGCCAGAATACCAACAATTGGTGACAATAGCTGCAGCAGCAACAACTCTGGCAGCAACATCAGCAACAACCGCAGCAGCAGCAGGAGCAGCAGCACCACCACCAGCAGCAGCTGCAGCAACAACCGCAGGAGCAGCAGCAGCCACAACAACAACCACAGGAGCAGCAGTAGCAGCAGCAGCAGCAACAACCACATGAGCAGCAGTAGCAGCAGCAGTAGCAGCAGCAGCAGCAACAACCACATGAGCAGCAGCAGCGTCAACATCAACACCGCCAGCAGCAGGAAAACAGCAGCAGTAACACCAATCACACTCCCCAACATACATGGCAAGGCCGAAAAGGAGCGCGGTCGTGCCTGCATGTCGTCGGCACTGAGAACGGACGGAGTGCGGGACGTCGACGCGGAGGGCGGTCCTGACGGTGGACGGGATTCACGCTGTTCGGGTGTTGTCAGGCCGCCGCTGGCGTGACCACTGGTACGACTCGGACTACTTCCACTGGTGCTATCCTTGGTTGTGTCTTTTGACGCTGGGTCATCTTCGTCCTGAGCGGGAAGAGATGCGGTGTGCTTCAACTGCGGAAGTCCAAACGGCAACATCATGCCGCCCTTCTTCGCAAATGGGTTGAAGCCCTGCGCACCAATGGGTGACATACCCCCCATCGGAAAGGCCCTCCTGGGTTCCGACGCATCGTCCTCACCGTCTTCCGGGCCGGTGGGATCAGGCGGAGGCGTGGCCCAGATGTCGACAGTCTTGTGTGAGTGTCGTCGCTGCGAGCGCGTCCGCTTCGGTACAGTGGTGACTCGTGATTTCATCACCGACGTGTCCAGCAGATGGTCCCGCTGCAAGGGTACCAGCAACACACACGCACACACACACACACACACACACACACAGACGTACACACACAAGTACACCAACACACACAGGGAAAGGAGAGGTGAATACAAGCAGGATCAACTTAGTGAATAACAGGCCTCAATGACACATGAGAACAAATGGTGCTAATTGCAAGCCGTGGTTATGGGGGAGATTGAAAGTGTGCAACCAAATGAAGGTCAGAAGACATGTCCTAACTCTCAAGTTGTTGGAAAACCCGAAGTTGTTCTTCACAAAGTTGTCTGTACTGATCCCAGTGATGGACCAGATTTCCCAGTCGCAAATCACAGCCCACATTACATTTAAAAACAACCAAACTTTAACTCCCGAAGCTATGCAAAGACGTTGCGAAGTAGCATCTGGCGCTACCAGGTACCGTGACGTTTTGCAAAGAGTTTACAAAACCCAGAATGTGCAGCTCGGATGGTTTGCTGTCATGGCACAATTCCAGGATCACATAATTTTAGCGATGCAGTGGGTGCAAGAAGAATTCAAGCAGATCTCTTTCTGCACAACTGCAGCTAAGTTGTGCGCCCTAAGCCACTGCATGCCACATAGCTGCATCATCTATGATGCAATTCCGGAATTTTGCCGTGACAGACACCCATGAGGAGAACACGCCGGGTTCCATGTACCCTTGGCTTTACCCTTCAGTACTCAAGTACTGTCAGGCGGGCGCAATGCGAAGTTGCAGCATTGTTAGGTTAGCACTGGTGATAGGTCTCCATCACAACATTTGCTGACGAAATGAAATTCCCTTCCACGGAATATATACAGCACACACACAGGCGGCGCCCCCCCCCCCCCCACACACACACAAACGTGCACGCACACACACACACACACACACACACACACACACACACGCAAGCACGCATACACACACAGACACAAACATGCACACACCCACACAAGCACGGGCAAGATCTACTTACTCGCACTTCGTTGAACATGTCCTGGAAGGATCAAATGCCCGACACGACAAGAAACAAGAGAAGGCAGTGAAGACGATACGTGTAAGAAAATGAATCGCAAACCACCACTAGCAGAACGCGATTGCCACTAATGCCACAACTATGAAAACATCACACTACATCACCACATCCAATGATGACCAAATAACCTAATGATGGCCTGTCCAGTATAGGGATGGTCTATTGTTCACATCCATGGATATTTCTCAAGTTACTGCTTCTGCTACTACCTCTACTCTTGTTCTTCTCCGGATCATCTTGGATTTCCAATACTGTTCTTTGGGTACATCCAATGATGACAACTGCTGCAGGTATCATTACCATCAAGAGTACATAACCCCCAAGTATGTGCAACTGCCTACACAACCTCTATCCAGTGCTGGTATTACTACAGAACTTCAAATCACGTGGCGTTGACATGGTCCGTAAGGTTACGACGAAAAACGGTGCAAAGCGACCACCGGAGAGTTGAACCTCAAAGCAGGGCTACCCTGAATATGGCACGTAATCGTATTTAAGTAAAGTCGTGCCGGCACGTCCGCGTTACAACTGGCTATACAATTGCGTTGAGAAACACAACCAGCTTAGGAAGTTTCGCTCGTGCCAGGCCACCACCATGGCTGTAATACCAGGGTGGCAGATGCAGTGCCTAACGGCGAGAGTGAGGTGGTAACTCTCAAAAACAAATGCCCGACAAGAGGGAGAACCTCGTTATATGGCGTGTACTACTAGATACAATGTACAGGCTGGTCACATGATGTGAAGCTCTGCCGTCGCAGGCCCCATAGACTAAAGCTGCACACTCTCGGGGGCGGCGTACAGTTGCGCACGCTGAAATCCAACCCGGAGTACAAAAACTGGTGCCCGGAAACAGTTGTGGTGACATTACTGTACTGTACGCGTGTACACCCAGCCGCATTTGCATCATGCCCAGGGCCCGGGTCAGGCGCTGTGCAAGTTGAGGGGGCCAAATGTGCACTTTGAGTCGGATATCACCTTGAGCAACTGTTCTAGTACGCTTCGTGTCACCAAGAGACCATAATCCCCCAGGCCAGAGTGCGCAACTTCACGTGTCAGATCTGGGACGGCGAAATCCGTGTTGCACGTCATAGTGTGACATCATGAGCAGGGGAAGTGTGGACCGTGGTGGACCGCGTCGATGGCATGACGCAAGTCCGACCCAAGAAATGAGGTACATCACGGATTACGCAGTCCCACAACCCCATCCCAGTTGCATACTCTGGGGGAGTATGGATTCTTGGTGTCACTCTTATGGGGCTACATGAAGGTGACTCATACATACCGAGGCATCTTCAGTTCTGGCCTAGAAGCCACACACACACACACACACACACACACACACAGGAGGAAAAAGAACAAAACACAAGCAAAAGAAGAGGATTAGAATGTGCACTTGCTACAACAGACTCACACAGGCGTACACTGACAAAACCGGCACAGCCATGCCTAGTTCATATCGTTGTTCTCTTACAAATTGATCCCCTTTTCTCAGTCCCCCCCCCCTTTACCCCGAACGAAGCCAGAAATGCCACTTTAGCAGCAATATACATGTATTATGCATGACCCCAGTGAGCTAGCCCTGAACTCTTTCATTGCTGAATTCTGTTTGCTAGCCATGTGGCATGTAAATTTGGCTTTTTAGATATGCACATGATAGTCTATAAAATACACAGCAATACATGCCAAACAAGTAACGTACTTCAGTAGTTGCGTGATGTCTGCGGCCTTCATTCTATTCATAGCTATATTAAAATACTGTGAAACATGTTATTTTCGGTGAAGCTTTAATTTCTGTGATTTCGGTAGAGAAACCAGGCACCTAAATTTAGATTACACCTAAAAGGCACCAGAGTATGCACTGTATGTGAAAGGAAAGCTGGTCGCCTAATTCAAAGTTACACCTGAAACCTGGCAGGTCTCTGGCACCGAAATTTTAATGGACCCAAAGTTACATGTTTTGCGGTAACGTGCTTTTTGTGTAGGTGATCAGGGTCAGCACACATAGTGATCTATCACCATCAGCTGCTCCTCTCTGATTACAGTAAAACCTGTCAAGGCGACCAGCCGCCCCAGAAGACCACTGTAACCAGGACCAAGGGATGCTATTTGCAGCCAAACGACCCTGGATAAGGAGACCACCTGGCAACAGAGACCACACTTTGCAGATCCCCTGAGCGGCCGTCTTAGACCGGTTTCACCGTACTAGCACGGTGCAGCGAGTGCTTACATACATCCTTGACGCTTTTGAACACTTGTCCCAGCCGACGTTGCATGACGTCATGCCCGGTTAAAAAAACCTTGAGCATGAGGTAGCTTATAGTACTCAGCAAGCCACGTTCGTTGCCAGTTGTTCCCTCAAGAATACACAACTCCTAACTAAAAAGAGTCATACGAGTGTGCAACTCCCGCATACAGTGCAGTGACGGCGACATTTCAAGCTGACGTCCTTTTCATGATGCAATCCAATGATTTAAGACGTTTGTAAGGGTTGTCGATGCATTGCAGCAAGAGTACATAACCCCCAAGAGTGTGCAACTGCCTGCACAACCTCTATGCTGTGCTGCGACGGCAGAACTTCACATCACGTGACATGGTTCAAAAGGTTATGCTGGCAAACAGTGCAAAGTGACCACAAGAGAGTTGTACCCAAAGCTGGGCTGCGTACAACCCTGTATCTATCATGCACAGAGTGCAAATAATGTGTACGGGTTCATCACGTGATGTGAAGTTCTGCCGTCGCAGACCCCATAGCTGGAGTAACCCCGAGTTGCACACTCTTGCGGGTTATGTACTCTTGATTGCAGCAAGAGTACATAACCCCCAGAGTGTGCAACTCCCACATACCCTGCTGTCCCGACAGAATTTCAAGTTGACGTCATTATGACGCAATTCTCCTTGCACCAGTGATTTACAACATGTGTACGGGTGTCAACGCATCACACGTTTTCTTTGCAATAATTTGTACAGGATCAGATCGGCGTTGGTCCACCACCGGTTCCGGATTCGTCTGATAATCCGGGTACAGTGCGCATTGCATCATCAAAATAACGTCAACTTGAAATTCGGTCGGGACAGCACCCATATTCGAGTTGCACACTCTGGGGGGTTATGTACTCTTGATTGCAGTCTTTTCAGGATAAAGTGAGGATTTGCCCCCACAGGTTCAGGATGTCTGGCATTACGCTTACGACGCGCGTATTGCGTCACAAGATGACGTCAACTTGAAAATCTGTCAGCACAGCATCTATAGTGTGCTGTAGTAGAAGTACACACGCGTGGAGGGTATGTACTCCTGGTTCCATATATGGACTATCCTTACAAGATTTGTAAAGCTGGATATTCTCTGAGTGTATACGAGTACATGTACATAACCAAATAAGGACATGTTTAGGTTGCCAAATAAGCCTTATGCACGTTGTACAGAACATGCATGAAGTTTTCACTCTTGCGCAAGGTCGGAATAAACCGATTTCCGTAGCCTTTTTCGCTGTTACCTGATTCGTCGAAAGCTATGCAACTTCATTACTGCAAAACAGGTTATTTTCGGTGTAACTTTGATTTCGGTGGAAATACCAGGCACCTAAATTTAGATTTACACCTAAATGGCACAATAGCATGTGCCGTATGTGAAGGGAATGCTGGTTACCGAATTCTAAGTTATACCTGAAATCCATCTGGTCTCTGACACCGAAATTTTAATACACCGAAATTTACATGTTTTACAGTATTCACAACCCCTCTACTACATGTGTGATGTAGTATCCAGCCTTCCTGTAGTTGTAAAATGCAGACTTCTAAGCCTTTTGCAATATTTGCCCAACTTTAGGTGTCAACGTATAACAAGAGATTCCCAGGAATGAAGTACCAGAGTGTATTACCAATACGTGGCCCATGCAGCGGCATAGTGGAAAGTGTTTTGGATTTTCGCTCTGCGCACGCTCGTTTAATGGTATGCTTATTGGGTAAAGCTGGTCCAGCTGCTGGCAGATCCAATCTCGACAGGAACTTAGCGGCCGTTGCAGTTATTGAGTGGTTTTTTTGTTGTAGGTTTTTGTTGATGATACTGATAAAGCAGGCTTATTCTGTCTATTGGGCTGGTACATGGTACTCATTCTTATTATTATAGGGGCGGCGGAGAAATCTGCCTTTGCTTTTTTCTTTCTTTTTTTGGTCCCCCCCCCCCCCACGGTACCTACTGCATTGCACTCCACCTATCTTGGTGAAATTGGCACCATAGCTAGTAGTAGCAGCCGCGCTGTTTTGTGATTGCAATTGGCCACAAATTAGAACTAACAGCCATTACCTCAAAGTAGTCATCACGTTCCTCATCATTCGAAGACTCGTCGTAGATGTCGTCCCCGTCTTCATCCGTGAGCTCATTCTCATCACCCTCCTCAAGCGAAGGCAGTCGGGGACTGCCCTCGCACAGGGCTCGTGCAGCACCCACTTCTTTGGGCATGCCCGTACTATCCTGGGATACATCATCGTCGACACAACTTGCGGCACAATCGGCAGATTCCTCTACGAGCTCATCTTCGGCAACGGCCGTGACCTCTACTTCGACAGTGATATCGGGCGAGGTGTGTGCACTCTCGTCGGTGGAGGTTGCAGCCTGGTCAGAGCTGTCCGTGGGCGTTTCATCATCCTTTATCACTTCGCTGCTGTCAACTGCTGTCTGGTCTACATCTGGTGCCAGAGCGACGCAGGCTAGCGCATCGATCTCGCCTATAGATATGACCGGGCAACTTGCAGCATGCTTGGAAGCATCAATTGGTGCTTGAATGTCGTTACTAACTGCAGCGGTTTCCGTCGAAGTCGAATCCACACCTTGGGCTGGAGTGACGCAGGCTGGAGTGTTGATATCATCTACGGATATGACCGGGCAATTTGCACTCTCGGTGAGAGAATTGGCACCTTGTCCGGAACCATCCACTTGCCCTTCATTGTCGTTCGTCACCGCAGAGGCTTCTGCTGCAGTCGGATCCACCACACCTGGAGTCGCAGTGACGCAGACTGAAGTGTCGGTTTCAACTTCGGATATAACCATGTCCTTTGCACTATCAGTAGGAGAAATAACAGCTTGTTCGGAACCATCGTCTGGTGCTTCATTGTCATTTGCAGTTGCAACATTGTCTGCAGCAGCCAAACCCACGCCTAGGACTGGAGCAACACGGCCCGATGCTTCAATCTCAGCTACGGATACGATAGCATCATTTGCATTCTCATCAGGAGAAGTGGCAGCTAGTTCAGAATCCTCTGCTGGCGCTTCACTGTCATCCGTCACAGCAGAACATTTTGCTGCGGCCTCATTCACATCTGCGGCTGGGGCAACGCAGGATGATGCTTCGGTGTCAGCAATAGATACAACAGTGTCAGTTGCTGTCTCGACAAGAGAAGCGGCAACTTGTTCAGAACCATCTTCTGGTGCTTCACTGTCATTTCCAGCGGCAGACGAATCCACACATGCGTCTGCAGCAACGCAGGATGATGCTTCAGTCTCACCTATAGATACAACATTGTCATCTGCATTCTCGACGGGAGAAACGGCAGCTTGTTCAGAACCATCTTCTGGTGCTTCAATGTCATTTGCAGCGGCAGCCGAATCCACACCTGCGGCTGGATCAACGCCGGTGGATGCTTCCTTCTCATCTACGGATACGACAGCATTATCTGCATTCTCGACGGGAGAAACGGCAGCTTGTTCAGAACCACCTTCTGGTGCTTCAATGTCATTTGCAGTGGCAGCCAAATCCACACCTGCGGCTGGAGCAACGCCGGTGGATGCTTCCTTCTCATCTACGGATACGACAGCATTATCTGCATTCTCGATGGGAGAAACGGCAGCTTGTTCAGAACCATCTTCTGCTGCTTCACTGTCATTTGTAGCGGCAGTCGAATCCACACCTGCGGCTGGAGCAGCGCTGGTTGATGCATCAGTCTCATCTACGGGTACGATAGCATCATTTACATTCTCGACAGGAGAAACGGCAACGTGTTCTAAACCGTCTGTTGGTGCTTCGTTGTCGTTGGTCACCATAGCATTTTCTGCAGCAGCTGAGCCCATACCTGGGGCTGGAGCAGCACGGCCCGATGCTTCAATCTCGGCTACGGATACGAGAGCGTCGTTTGCACTCTCAGCAGGAGTGGTGGTAGCTGGTTCAGAATCCACTGCTGGCACTTCTTTGTCATTCGTCCCGGCAGAGTTTTCTGCTGCAGCCGAAGCTTCAATCTCAGCTACGGATACAAGAGCATCATTTGCACTCTCAGTCAGAGTAGCTGCAGCTGGTTCAGAATCCGCTGCTGGCACTTTATTGTCATTCGTCACGGCAGGGTTTTCTGCTGCAGCCTCGTCCACATCTGGGGGTGGAGCAACGCAGGCTGATGCTTCCGCCTCAGCTATAGATACAACAGTGTCATTTGCATTCTCGACGGGAGAAGCAGCAACTTGTTCATCTTCCGGTGCTTCATTATCATTTGCAGCTGCAGCCGAATCCAAACCTAGGGCTGGAGCAACGCAGGTTGATACATCGGTCTCATCTACGGATACGGCAGCATTATCTGCATTATCGATGGGAGAAGCGGCAGCTTGTTCAGAACCGCCTACTGGTGCTTCACTGTCATGTGTAGCCGCAGCGCTTTCTGCAGCAGCTGAATCCACAATTGGGGCTGCAGCAACGCAGGCCGATGCGTCGGTGTCTGCTACAGGTACAACTGTGCCATCTGCATTCTCGACGGGAGAAGTAGTAGCTGGTTCAGAATCCTCTGCGGACGCTTCATTGTCACTCGTCACGGCACAGTTTTCTGGTGCAACCTCATCCACACCGGGAACTGGAGAGAGGCAGGCTGGGACTTCAGCATCAGCTATCGATAGATCTGCATCTGTATCGGCCGTATCATTTGCCTGCTGTGGTCCTGGCTCATCAGATATGTTCTCTGCAGCCACAGCAGATAGGTCTGTGGGTGAGACTGGCTCGGAACACTCATCCGTAGCAACAGTGCTTTCTGCTGCAGTCGAGTCCACATCTGGTACCGGAGCAACGCAGGCTGAAACTTCGCCCTCGACTATGGATACATCTGCATCGGCATTGTCCCTTTCCTCACTGATATCCGGCTCGTCCGCCACATCCTCTGCAGCCACAGCAGTAGATAAGTCCTTCGGTACATCTGGAACAGCAGCAGTGTCACCATGGTCGGGTGTAGTGGCGTCTTCCACACCAGCCACATCAGCACAAGTCGCTGGCGGACCATGTGAGCTTGGTTCTTCCTCAGACTGAAGTTCGTCAGCACACGCAGACATTTCACTTTGCTCGACTACCTCTGGTGTGGGCTCATGTTCAGGTGCATCCACTTCTTCAGCTGGTGATTGCATACGTTCGCCTTCAACCGCTGCATCGACGACCGTGCTGACCGGTTCTGCTTCGGTACTGCCTGCGCCAGAACCAGTGATGACAGGAGACTCGACACTGCTCAACTCTGGCTCGTCACAATTTCCGTCACACGATGCACTGGCGGCAGGAGAAATGACAATATCCTCGGCAGACAGATTTCTCTCAGCAACGTTTTCAGCTTCAGAGGCCTGGACAGGATTGCCTTCGATACTCACGCTCTGATCGCCGTCGATGATCGCGCCCGGTTCCTCGGCCACAACGGCAGGGACCACTGGGTCACTGCACTCCTGCACAACTTCTTGAGTTGCTGACACATCGCTGGTAGCGCTCTCAGGCAAGGCATCCGGGGATTGCTTGGCAGACACGTCAACATCTGGACGTAGAACACTCGCGCCACCATCCACAGGTGCCTCCACAGCACCACCGTCGTTAGCCACAGCGGCAGGGACTGATGAATCACTGGACTCCTGTGCTACTTTTTGACGTGCTGACTCATCACCGCTGGCAACATTCTCATGCACTGCATCTGGCAATTGTTCATCAGAACCGTCAACATCCGCACACGAAACACTAGCGCCATCACCGTCTGCAGGTGCCTCCACAGCGGCAGGGGCTGATGATTCACTGGAATCCTGAGCTACTTCTTGACGCGCTGACTCATCGCTGGCAACATTCTCGTGCGCTGCATCTGGCGATTGCTCATCGGCACCGTCAACATCCGCATGTGAAACACTCGCGTCATCACCATCTACAGGTGCCTCCACAGCGGCTGGGATTGATGATTCACTGGACTCCGGCACTACTTGAGCTGTTGACTCACCACTTGCAACACTCTCAAGCTCTGCTTCCACGGATTTTTCATCAGAACTGTCACCATCCGGATGCGAAGCACTCCCGGCACCGTCTGTAGGCACCGCCACATCACTACCGATGTCGGGCACAGCGGCAGGAGAGCTGCCCTCCGCGGCCGCACCGGTATCCAAGGCCGTTGACTGTGCCGAGTCCAGCATGCCATGCAGCTCTTTGATAGCCGATTGGGCGGTCGGCGAGTCAACCAGATCCACGATACCGACCGCATCCGTCACCTGTGCATACGTAGAAATACAGAATCTAGCGGTAAGAGCGTGTTCCAGGTGCAACAGCAGCAAGGTAGTACAGCGTGAAGGATGCATTCACTTTCAGAATCAGGTTGATAAGCACAAGGTGCTAAGTTACAGTGGCACATCACTAGACGGTGGCATGTCAAGCAGATATCACCAAACAGTAGTCAAAGCGTGTCAGCCAGATTAACTCAGCGAGCAGCTTTCCAGTGAGAGTCATGACAGTGGCCACATGTGACAGTGACGGTGACACGGACGATAACAAGAACAGCAACAACAACAGCAGCAGCAGCAACAGCACCACCACTACAACCAGCAGCATTCGTGGTGGCGGTGGCAACAGCTCAGCTGCTACCAATATGACCGGGCAATGTTGTGGCAGCAGCTGCGCCACCACCATCACACTACAAGTACCACAATCACCATCGCCACCACCATCGCCACCACCATCACCGCCGCCACCACTACCACCACCACTACCACCACCACCACCCCCAGCACCACCACTACCAGCAGCAACTGCAGCAGCAGCAGCAGCAGCACCACCACCACCACCATTACCACTCGCAACATCACAACCACCAACACACACATACACACCTACGCCACCTGCAGCACCATCCCAATACACAGCAATGAACGTGACAATGGTATCTTGGCTTCAGCAAAAAAATTACAAAAGTCAATATTGCAATCAAATTTC